TTATCAGAGGACTAACCATTGTTCCTTCAGTGCTGACTGGGTGAACCTCACCTTTCCACTAGAAAGCTTGCCGAGAATACATTATCCTCGTATAACTCTAACTAGATACAATCAAGCCGCGCTCTGCTCTAGCTGTAGTGATCTTGTGACTTGAAATTATCATCAGAAGAAATATATTTTCTCTGTTTATTACATAATTTTTCTTGAATATTGATTGTGACTAATATAAATCGTGGCGAGCCAAAATTTTGCTTGAAGTTCAAACTGGTAAAAAGAATAAACTCTTTCTGTGATTAAGCGCATTGAAATGGAGTGCAAAATTATATAACTTGCATCTTCATTAATTATTACTAAGAGTGAGTGTGATCAAACGCTACAATCATCTTTTTTATTGCCATGATTGATGCAACTGTACTAAGATAATAAAAGCTCACATTAGAGCCCATATAGTGGTGAACCAACTTCTACATTTTTTTTTTAAAATATCTAATTTATTATTATTGGGTGATTGGATTATAATTGAAGTAGATTTATTGCTTCGTGGAAGCCCGTGTCTGAAATTGCAAGCAGCACTGTCACTTATCAATGTCTATTTTAATCATTCAGGAAAACACGAGCCAAAAAATTTATTAAAAGGTCATGGCAATAACCTTACTCTTCATCAAGTACATGCAAAACTTTTCTTTGCGGCTTTGATTGTATTAAGTATATTTCTAATTTATTTTGTTGAGATATTGTCTTTTCGTATAATAATTCGCTTGATCCCAACTTGTTTTGGAACTAAGGCGTAGTTTTCCATTGTTATCTCTTTATTCTCAATAATGTGGTAGAATGGAGCTGGTTTTGATACTTTAAACACTTAGTTTCCGTGTTGAACTATTTCCGGATTGAACATATGTCTATACTCTTATTGGTTCTTTTTCTTTTATCCGCGATGACTATCTACGTTGAGCATGCACATATGGAGACCGTTTTCATATACTTGATTTGATTCTTATAGAATGTATCAAACAATCTGTTTCTACCCAAGCAGTGATTTTTGCCAAGGAAAGAAATAAAAAAGAAATTAGACTTAAATCTCAGGATTAATAAAGTGGGGTAGATATTCGAAAGTGAATGAGGAAAAAATAGCATAAAAGGATTAGAAAAAATAGTACCAGCAGTATATGCTGCCTGATGATGTTTTCAAGCTCTCAATTTACGGAAACTTTTCAGATTCGCGGGAAGTCACATATAGTGATCTGTGGGGAGAGGGTATCTGTGGTTCAATTTTAGTTTATAATCAAATACGTCGTTAAACTTTCACTGTTATAACCACCAAATGTACAGTATTAAAAGAAGAAGATGAAAAAGATTTGAACGATAGGTTGATTATTATAGTGAAATTATTAATGCCTACCATGCTTCGAACTAACTATTCATATGGCACTTCTTAACAATGAGAGGACCTTCCGAAATCGCATTGCCTCAAGGGAGTCAGTAGCCTAGGGAAACCTAAAAGAGCCTTCCTCATCCATGGAAAGAGATAGGATTTTGACATTACTTTTGATAACTTGGAGGGTATTGTTCTTTCTTTAGTTAGTGGTGAAGGGATAGAGCTCTGGTTGAAGCGAGCTTGCTAAATCTTAAAACTTTCCCAGCTTACTTTCCATGACTTCTGGTTATTAAATAAAATGTGATTTTGGTATAGTGACAAAAGATCTGATTATCTAATCTTGATTCTTATTTCACCACTTTTAGGTACCCAAAGGTCTCGAACTGGGAATGGGGACCATGTCACGTGGAGAGAAAGCATTTGATTACCGTTTAAAAGTTCCAATATTATACAGAATTCACCTCTAATGCCTGTGGTAAGAAGGTGTTTGACGAAAAGGTTTCCATTTTTTTTCGAGGTTGAACTTGGTCCATTTTGTTCAGGTAGACGCTTGTATATCTTGCATATATTCCAAAGGGCTTCTTTCTATCGCAGAAAATATTCTTTATCTATAGTTTTTGTGTTCTTCATCTTCAACTTTTATTCACTATATTATAAACGAAATACCTACCCGTTTGAGCAGATATCACATGGGTATGGGTACTTGGCAGATCCTTAAATATACACTAAGACTTCTTAATATTTGGACATATAGGTGTTGTATACTCACCTGTAACCTATACCCGGATACATACCAATACTCGAGTCAGTGTAACATAGATTTTCAATGATATTCCCATTTCACTCAATAACTCGCGGTTACATGTTTAATGAGTTCACTCTTTCAATTTGGTGTTTGTTCAGCCTTACCACTATAATTTAGTGTATTCCTCAGAATGTAATCATGATCTTTTGTCTTGTGCTTGACATAATTTCTCTATTGGTGGGAAGTATTTCATTATAATTGTAACCACTTTACTATTATTTTAAAATTTCATGCTTGAATTTCACTTTCATAAGGATGTGTGCAAAGATAACTTGGCCAGATTTCATATCCAACACTCCAGTGGTCTTAGGAATGACTTGCCCGATATTCAAAGCCCCAGATTCTTCTGCTTTTTCTTGCTGGAGACCAGCCTGCTCAAAATTTTTCTCCTATTTTAGCATCCACCATGTGCTATCCATTACATGTGTGCATAACATGAATACATGCTCTGAAGTTGTGTGTGAGGGGAAAAAGTTGTGTGTGTGGGTTTCCCCTCACAGATGTAGATTTTGAGACTCTACTTGGTTCACTTCTTTTGTCTTTAGTTATTTACTTATCTGCGCAAGGTTCATTTTGGTAATAACTTTACTTATCCTCTTGTGTAGGTGGAGTAGATCAAGAAATGGATGATGAAGACGATGAAGAACTAGACCTTACTTGAAATGAATTTTGTATTGTTATAGATGAATGTTCTAGGAATCTTTTGTTACCAACATTTTTTAAACTTATTTACTCTCTTGAAATGTACTAAACTTAAGCACTCATGGGGTAGAACATTTGCTTTATGGATAATTTTGTATTATTAATAGTTTCATTTTACGATGTATTTAAATTTTTGTGTTGTTATAATTTATTATATGTATAAATATTTATTTATAACATGTGCTATATTTTGATTTTAACTGAACTGATACAATAGCCTACCAGAACCGTTGCAATAGGACACAAATGGCGTTCTAGTAGACAATGTAAACCGTTGCAATAGGTCCCATAAACTGTACCTAATACAAATATAACCGCTACGATAGCCTAAAGAAACCGTGGCTATATCCCACATAACCGTAGCAATAGCTTACATAAGTGTTTCTTTAAATAAAATGGTAACGGTTAAAAACCGTTATATAAACAATACAGTAACGGTTTTAAACCGTTCCAATTGAAAAAAATAACCGTTCCAATAGAGAAAGGGAAAACCGTTGCAATAGACATACCTATTGTCGCGGCGATGCAAACCGTTGCAAGAACCGTTCCACTAGGCCTATGGGTACGCCGACTGATGTGACGGTCTTTAAACCGTTCCAATATCCCTATGGCAACGGTTTGGCAGTCTATGGGAACGGCTTTGCAACCGTTACCGTAGACCAATTTTTCAGTAGTGATATTACGGGAAGAAACAGAAAGTATGGGATTGCAAACCAAGGAATGCATCATGGATGGTTCAGAAAATAATCAAAGCAAAGAGCTATATAGAAGAAGCAGGAATCAGCATGAAGGAAGTAATAGAATGGAACTACTTCTCTATCCAGAAGTGGTATAATAGCATGCGAGGGCAATATCAAAAGGTATCATGGAGGGGACTAACATGCAACAATCTAGGAGCTCCAAAGTGGATCTTTGTTCTGAGTTTAGCTATACAAAATAGGCTACTTACAAGAAGCAGACTACACATATGGGAGATTGCAGATGAAGTAAGTTGTCCTTTATGTACTGAAGCAGAAGAGACTATTGAACATTTGTTGTTTAACTGTCGAATTACTGGAGAAATATGGAGCAAGCTACTACAATGGCAAGGAATAAATAGAGCTCCGATGGAATGGCAAAGAGAGATACAATGGGCTGAAAGCAATGCAACTGGAAACAATGCAGCAGCTCAAGTCTATAGATTGACTCTGGCATGTGCAGTGTACAACATATGGAATGAAAGGAACAACAGAATATTCCAAGATCAGAAGAAAACAGTGGAAATGATAGTGAGGCAAATTGTTCTAGAGGTAGCAATCAGAGGATCGATGAATAGTAAGACAGAAAAGAGAATAGCAGAAATAGATACTTACTGTAAAGGAGGATAGAAGAAATGTAGAAGAGGGAATGGAACTGGAAATACCCTGTTCCACATAGAACTTTGTACATATTGCTATTAGTAAATAAAATAATTTAATTACCAAAAAAAAATAAAAAATAACGCTACATATATTTCCACCAGGGTCAAAAGAAGTAAAAGTATTTTGCTGCTCTCACACTTGTATGTCCCAAGTTGACTACAAACCACCACAATAGTAATCTAAAAATAAATATGTGTACAGCGATAAGAAGTAAAAAATAATGAAGATTTTGGTGCCTGAATGAACCTAGGCGCCGATAGAAGACCCGATCTAAAGGTGATTTAGATTATTTTGGAATTAGATTTCAAAAATGAAATCACATCCGGAAAATATCACCTTGGTAATGTATATCACAACGAATATGTAATATACACAGCAGACATACACTAATATATAAGAGGATACATTTTTTTTTTTGAACAAAGGAAGCATATATATACATACATATATATAGATACATACATATATATACATACATACATATATATATATATATATATATATATATATATATGTATATATATGTATATATATATATATGTATATATATGTAACGAAAAGCTTACATAAGGGTTATATAGTCCCTAAGGACATTACTGTTGTTAAGAGATACTAGGCTATTACAAGTAGTAGAATTCAGTTTTTTAATACCCAAACAAACACCTTGCATATCCTTTTCCAAAAAAGATTCAACAAAAGTAGGTGGACGTGCAAGTCGATNTTTACATTGGCAGAAATTGAAGAATAAGGAGATTCTTTGAGAATTCTCATGTACGACTTGTTCTCATGATAAATGATTACTATACCAGTTGGAGTTGGAATTATATACATACATATATATACATACATACATATATATATATATATATATATATATATATATGTATATATATGTATATATATATATATGTATATATATGTAACGAAAAGCTTACATAAGGGTTATATAGTCCCTAAGGACATTACTGTTGTTAAGAGATACTAGGCTATTACAAGTAGTAGAATTCAGTTTTTTAATACC